ATCAGTACCAGTTCATGCTTTCCTGCAGTGAAGCATCTGCTGTTATGATATGCAGGCATGAGTACCAGAGGGTGGCTACCATTGTTTGTAGGATTAAGGAAATGATCTGGATGAGGGCCATGGGCTTAGTCAGAGTAGTTCAGGATGATGGGGGCTGAATCTGTATTTAGTTTGTTTTTGTTTTGCACATCGGCAGGCAAAGCCTAGTGTTTGTTTGGCTTCGGTCATGTCCTTGGTTACAGTAGCGTTGAATCTGCAAGTTTAAGATCAGACATTTACTAAAACTGAACCAAGGAAATTTGGATTTCATAGTTACAGTTGTAGGAAATGGTCATATTATGACTGAAATATATTTAAAATGTCTATTTAGTTCTGTTTTCAGATATAACCTTGTAAGTAGAAACATGTATAACTCAAACAACCATACATCTAGTTAATTTTGCACAGGCAGCAATGTTAAGTCTTACTACAAACCTAGCAATAAAAATGATGAAGCTCCTGTCAATTTTCGAATAACTAGCTTGAGACGATATTCTCTTCTTCTCTAATGGAAATGACAGAGCTCCTGTCCATTTTTGGAAAAAAAGTTGTTTTTCAGACTCATCTATCTCAAACAAAATGAAGACTTGAATGGTAGTGAGAGAGCTGCAATTATTTAACTTCATATCTTGGCTTACATGCTTGTTCTTCCATAATGCAGTGAATATGTAAATCTGTACTAAACAATTGAGTTTTGCTGTGTTGAGCATACCTGCTTGTTGTTCATTCCTTATCCCCTTGTATGCAGGATCTATCTGGCCGACCTCATTTGAGCTGCGGCTTAAGTATTCCTACTGCGCGGGTTTGCACATATGATACATAGGTATTGTGAAATTTCGCAGTTGTTTTCAGTTTTCTGCAATGTTGATTTGAAAAGCTTTCGATGTTCTATTTATGTATGCCAGACTTAAGAAAGAATTTCATAGTCACATTTGACATATTCAGATCAAGTTTATCCCTCCGATTATGTTACATCAACTCTTCCTCTCTCCAGTGAATAATTTTTGACATATCTTAACAAGACTTTTTTGTCATCTTTTAGCTAGTGTGATGAGATTTTGGCACCTGTAGATTCCTTGTACCAACTTAGGCAAATAATAATTTATTTATTTTTGTGACAGTTGGTTGAGCACATCTTCTAGACTCTTGTGAATACATCTGGGACAACGCTTCACATCAGTCAGGTATATACTGCTTCCGTTTCGAGTGAAATCCTCTCCCATAGCCCCTGCCCCAGATGAAGTGAGCTATATATGTGTATGATGATCCTCCTTTCCTAAAAGTGAGATTGCCATATGTAGTTCAGAATTGACCTATCATGCTTAATTTACACATCATCTAAATCATGAGCTTACGAAGCTGCTGTTTTGGAGTTGTGTGCCGCAATATGAGTAGTAAATTTGTGAACCTGCCATGTAATGTTTAGGTTCCAGCAAGGAAATTTGTCTGCCGCTATCCTGAACCTCCTCCGCTTTCTCTGAAACAGAGTTGCCTTGTGAAGAAAAAGGATATGTGGGAGCTTTTGAATGGACAAAGGCTTCAGCGAGGAAGAGAAGACAGCTGCATTTCCTTACTTGCAATTCTAGTAACTATCTTTGTTATAGCTTGTAGAGTGTACCCGCAAAAAAAACTTGTAGAGTGTGATGGATTAATTAGGATGCTATGTAATCAGAGTACGTACCTTATCATATGTATCATGACTGATTGCTATCAAGGTCTGCATTCTATGAAGAAGGCTCCCATTTATATGTTTATTAGTGACATTGCTCCATTGTGTTGTGCTTACTCTACTACTTCTGTACATTATTTGTGGAATTGGTCTTGTTGTTCACTGTTGCTGAAAATCTGTTTCAGTTAGCGTGCCCTTATGTAGCACTATTTCAAATGGAGTTGGTCGAGTCCTCCTGCTCATTTTTTATGCCAACGGACATTGTTGTCGCCCGAAATGCTTGTACAGAAGGAGCACTGGAGACTACATGTTTGGGGCTATCCTAAGCTTGTTGATAGGTGATCATTTCAGTACTGGCTTGTCATGTACTGACCCTGAACTCTGAAACTGATTCAACCAATGTGCTATCTGATTGGTTATACCCAGGTACATGTACAACTATACGATGGAAAATATGCATTTTTACAAATTGTACCCAAAATGTTAGCTAATACTCTTTGCTTGTCTCATGAAATGTGCTTGTGCAAATTTGCACCCTATTAGCTCCCCAATGCTTAACCGGAAGGACTGATTTGCATGCCACACTACGAGCCCCAAGACGGACGTCTACGCATGCCAACAGGAGTTGGTACATTGCAGCTTGTGTTGCATCGAGACTAATGCGATACATGGAGCTAACAAATTTCCAAGTAATCAATCTGTGCCCAACTCTGTTGGGTAACAATACTGAAACAGATGTCCCAGCTAGATTTACTCTAAAGGAGTTCTGCTTACTAACTAAACAGCTAGGACAACAATAAGAACCAGCATAAGATCAGCAATGTACAAACAGAAGCTAAACTTGCTCATTGGCAAAATAGGTTGTGCATGCTTCTTTTGTTCCATACTAAAGGTGACTGCCATATTTGTCAAGGATGATTATGGCTGAGGCATGGTAATGCACTTGTAGCAACGCGTGCAAAGCGGGCAAGAAATTCATATAAAGCAGATATTCTTTCAAATTGAGCCAATTCTGGTTTTCGAAGATATACAGCCCCATACACTGGCTAAATAATCAGAACTATGTTTGAGGCGCGGGTCATGTACGTCTTGAGCTCCCAATTCACCTTCTCCTCGCACCCACTCGAAGTAGCTCACCATCACTCCGCCGGAGTTGGCCAGGATGTCCAGTAGGATCAGCACGCCCTTCTTTGCCAGAATCTGCACCACGAACATGTACATTTCTCTACTCTCAGTCAATGTGTGAAATGTGTCAACAAATGCAGCTTAGTTTTGTGGCAAAATGTTGGTGTTCTTGCCTCGTCGGCCTCGGGGTCTGTTGGGTGGTTAGCAGCCTTGATGATGTACTTTGCTTTGATGGCATCAGCATTGTCCCTAGGAGAAGAAGAAAATCGAACGGACTTTTTATTAACAAAAATATTTTCAGATACAGAAAAAGAAAATAATAGCCAGGAGGATAGTTTAACTGAGTTTCGGAGCAGTAATCTGATAGAAGATAGGATGAGGTGAGTTGGGACGAGGAAAAAGAAGATTACTTGTTTATCACTCCTCCCAGAGCTGCCGGGATGAGCACGTCGCAATCTTCCTTGAGCAGCGAGGTCGGGTCGACGGCGTCGCCTCCGTGGGAGCCCTTGATCCCGCGGTTCTCTGCCGAGTGCTTCATCAACTTGGCTGTGTCAATGCCATTGGAGTTCTTGACAACAGCTATCTTTTTTCATACCTGCGATCAGCAACTATCACCTAGGAGAAATTCATGTATAAGAAACTTAGCCAGCTTGTGAGTTGTTTATTCCCTTGTGTAAACACTGAGGTCACAAGTTCATCAGTTGTTTGGCCTGTTGCTGCAGTCAAGTAGCATGTATGAAGTGTAAAAGTTTGTCAGTAGCATGAGACTTGTAAACCAAAGTGCAGCATGAATCACGCAGGGAACTACTCAGATTACAAACCAACAACAACCTCAACAATTTCATTCACTAGAAGAAATCAAAGTCTTTTCTTTCAGATTTTTGCAATCACCAACAACTTGATATTCACTTTTTCTGAATCTTACATTCACCAATACAGATTAGTCCCATTTTGAAGCTTCAGCATAGAGAACAATTGAAATCAGCAAGAGGGTCATCTAAAGTGAACAAGCTACATGGTGGTTATCCAATAATGGATGAGCCGCTGTGGGGAAATGGCTATAGTCCAATGCATAATCAGAAGAACAGTGTCTAAATCTTCAATTGTAACTGTTTTTCACAGCACGTAGGTTCTGAATCCATACTGACTCTAATCACTACCTACTGACTCTAATCAAAAGCATTGAGAAGGGGGAGATATACCTTTGTACTCCGGCTCCTTTAGCTGAACTCCTCCACCTATCGCTGGGACGGCCGGTCCCGGAGTGGCCGTCGAACCCGCGCTGTATGAGAACTAGGGATGCCTCGGCGGTCAACTGCCACTTGGACGGCTACGGCCGCCGAACCAGTGTAGGTTGCTCTTCCTCTTCCTTTGGACGGCTACCACCTCCGTGCGCTCGATCTAGCTCTTGACGGCGAGGAGCCGCGACTGCATTAGATGTTTGTCCTCCAGTCCCTGGGACCCCTCCGCCGCCGCCGCCGGGGTCATCGGCTCTGCCTCCTCGCCCGAGCGGCCATCCTCGCCGACCCCTCAGCTGCCGCCGCCGCCGGAGTAATCGGAGGCACCGCCCTGTCCTACCAAGCTGCTTCGAACAGATAGGGCAACGAGGGGAGCGAACATAACATGTATCGGCTTGACTGATATTGGACGGATTTACCCTTTTAGATAACGGAAAGGTGCGACGGCACCCGGGTGTCCCGGCACCCTATTATCTTGTCCGTCCAGCTGCGTTACGATTCACACGAGCTACTGTGCAGCTGCAGTTGTTCGCAGGCTTAGCGTGATTAGTCTGGCCTTTTTAAGGCGAGCAACAGCGACGGGAGGGAGGGAGTAGCATGCGGCTTGGCAGGAGTAGGCCTGGCAGGAGGTCTACAATATTCAGGCCATGGTTGAATAGGTGACAGTGGCGCTACAGCAGCACTGATAGGTGACAAGTACTAGTACTGTGGCGTGTAGGTATGCATGTGGTCTGACGGATTTAGCTGTGCATGCGGCATACTGTGGCGTGTAGGTATGCATGTAGTATTATTTAGCTTCGTCAGAAGAACTCATGGCCCCATCTTCTAGCTAGGTCACTGTTCAGCGACTGGGCAAGTCAAAGTGGTGCTCGACGTCGCATTATTTTCAAGCCAGAACTTACCGTTTTACCTGTATGCATTGAACTGCGATTTTTTATCCGGTGCCCATCTATCGCTGTGGTTATTTGTTCCCTGCATGCAAAATACGGAGGGCAAAGGCTCAGTATGGCAGGGTGCGGCCAATGCATGCAGATGGATGCATGGTTATACGATGCATGGCACCTCGCTGCTCGCTCCAGCATACCGACTGGTCGTCTTCATCTTTTTTTTCCAGTAGATGGAATCCTGCCAAGTGGGGCTGGGCTAGACTAGACCCGGGTAAGTTTGTGAAATTAAGCAGGCATTTTTAAATTGACAAAAGACCCCGCTGGCAGGGCGTTGCATGCAGTGCTAGGATTGGCAGGAGGTCACGCGGGTCTTTGGGCTAAGTGTAGCGATGTGACAACACGCTACTAGTGGTCTGATTGCCATTTTAGTTTACCATCCCGCCATGGGTTGAATAGCGTGGTCAGGCCAATGTGTGGCCCTTTGGTGTTCACATCAGTGCCAGCTCCCGTTTCGTCCTGGTTTATTAGTTCTCTACGTATTTTGTGTTAAATTTTAATCATAGATTTAACTAATAAAATATAAGTGCATGTCATCAAAAATTATATCATCGGATTCATATTTGAACAAAGTTTTTAATTATATTATTTTTTGTAACATACATCAGTATTTTGTTAATGATCAAAGTTTGATACAAAATACAAAGAGGAAGGAGGTAGTACTTCATTTGAGAGTCGTGCTCGACTGGTCAATGCAGCGGTAACGGGTGTCACGTATGCCTTACTTTCATTTCTGTTCAGGTCCATAATGTCAATGACCCACTCGTTAGCAAGCAACGAACCCGCCCGGTAAATAAATCAATGATTCCTTTCTAAAAAATGTACGTGCTGAGAATAAAAAGAACCCCCGAATGGTTTATCAAGAAGATTAGGTGAAAAAAATATGATATCTGAAGTATATAAGAAAAATGCACATCTTTTTTTTGCGCTCCTTTCATTTGTGAGCCGGTCTTAATCGAATTATATTTTTTCCTGTTTGCAACTAACAAACAACACAAAAAATGTATCTGAACTTTAGACGGATACTTATGAAAAAAAACTAGTCCACGCATTATCTCATATTCTACCACTAGGATGCACCTGTCTCCGCCGTTGTTGCCACATGTGCTATTTTGCACATGATATATTGGAGCATCGTGCGGCGTTATCCATGGAAGGATAACCATAAGTGGCGGTCCGGGTGTGTAAACCACATCAAATACCTAGAATGTAATTGAGTGTCTGATGGTTTAAGTTCACGACGACAAGGAGAAGGATGTATCGGATGAGGTGGATGGGGGAACTTGTATCAACAATAGCCACCTTGTGAACCGTCATTTGTATCATACACGTTGTCTCACCGCAATATCGGTCGCTAGTTTGTCCGGCCTGATGCTTAACAGCCAACAAGCCATAATTTTTCAGGAAGTGGCCGAAGGAGGTACCACAACCATATGAGTGGCATCGTGCTCATAGAAAAAACAACCATCTCAATTTTTTATTGATCATGTGAGTACTATTATTATGTTGGGTGTTGTATGATGTGATCATCTGAATGTACCAGGTACAAGTATGTCCAAATGTATCAGATACAAGTATACGATTGTCCACTTAAGGTACTAGGTATAAGTATGCCTGAATGTATCGGGTACAAGTATACGGTTATCCATTTAATGTACCAAGTACAAGAGTATCCTTGTGGCGGCCGAATGTACCAATCTTAATTATTGTGCGTTGATTGTACCAGGTACATGTATGTTTGTGATAGGTTAATGTACCAGGTACAAGTTATGAGTAATAGCCAATATTACTACCCCGCATAGTGCATTTGATTCGAGTAGTCCTCCTCGTTAGAAAAGTCATTATAAGTATACATTTGTCCACTTAATGTATCAGACACAAGTGTACCTGAATGTACCAGGTACAAATATACAGTTGTCCACTTAATGTACCAGGCACAAGAGTATCTTTAGGGTGGCCAAACGTTCCAAGTCCAACTACTGTGTGCTAATTCTACCCGGCACATGTATTTTTGTGATGCGTTAAATGTACCAGGTACAAGTTACGAGTAACAACCAATATTACAGCCTAATATAGTGCATCTCATTCAAGTAGTCCTCTCCTCCTCACCGGAAGAGTCGTTGGACGACTCTACATAGTGCATTCTTGCATGTTTAGTCTATATATAAATTCATTATTTCGAAGAGGAAGGGAAATAAAATTTAGCACGGGCAATCCAACGAACACTTGTCAGGCGTTGTGACTACCGTACGGTCGAATGCTACCTTTGCGGTGGATGGAGGAGTGGTCTGAACCGGCGGAGGATGAGAAGTGTTGCGGATTTCGGGTGTAGCGGCGTAGGGTGCTAGAACGGCAGCGCTGGCAAGAAAGAAAACATATGAAGATAAATTTGTATTTGTTGACTTGCGCAGCCCAGGGGTGCACTTTTAAGCACGAGCCTTATGCACGGGGGACGGAGGAGAAGTGGCTGGGGTGCCAGAGTCCTACGTGGCTATCGTACGCATGATGAATAACATCTTTGATGACTGCGATGATACTCACTATGCCGCTGCAAGAGCATCAATCTCATGGCACCATTAGAAGTCGGCTGCTCATCACGATGTCAGGGAAGTAGACAAGCTTGTGTTCGCGACATATTGGGGCATAATGGAGAACATTTTTTTATGTGCATCGTGCAACTCATGCGGCCATGTTACCTCCTTTTTTTACTGGGGCCACATTACCTCCTTCTAACACTTCTTTCACAAACTTCTCACATCCATCCCCATTGAACACACACAATTTCCATTAAAAAAGGAGGTAACATGGCCGCATGAGTTGCACGATGCACATAAAAAATTGTTCTCCATTTTTTATTGATCATGTCAATACTATTTTTTTTGTTGGGTGTTGTTTTGTGGGGTCGCGTGAATGTAGCAGGTACAAGTATGCAGTATACAGTTATGCACTTAATGTGTCGTGCACAAGTGTGTCTAAATGTACCAGGTATAAGTATACAGTTGTCCACTTAATATACCAGGTACAAGAGTATCTTTGGAGTGGCCGATTTGTACCAAGTCCAACTACCGTGCGCTAATTGTATCAGGTACATGTATGTTTGTGATGGGTTAATGTACCAGGTACAAGTTATGAGTAACAACCAATATTATTGTCCAACATAGTGCATCTCATCCGAGTAGTCATCTCCTCCTCACCGGAAGAGTCGTCGGATGACTCGACATGGTGCTTACATATTTAGTCCATATATAAATCCATTGTTTAAGAGAGGAAGGAAACACAGTTTAGCACGGGCAATCCAACAAACACTTGCCAGGCATGATGACTACCTATGGGCGAATGGTGCCTTTGTGGTGGAT